TTATAATAAGCAAAGCGTTCTTGAGGGTACACGGGGATTTCATCAAGTCACTTTCATCATGTTGGTTTGATTTGTGTTTGCTACTTTTATAATTTGATATGTGGGTAGATCGGTGCTTAGGTGATGTTCTTACTTGAACAAACCTCCTACTTATGATTAACCCCCTCGCAAGCATCCACAACTATGAGAAAAGTAGTAAGAATAAATTCTAACCATAGCATTAAACTTTTGGATCCAATCGGTCCCTTACAGAATAGCGCATAAACTAGAGTTTAAGCTTCTATCACTCTCACAACCCATCATCTAATAACTACTCCACAATGCATTCCCTTTGGACCAAATACGGTGAAGTGTCATGTAGTCGACGTTCACATGACACCACTAAGGGAATCACAACATACATACTATCAAAATATCAAACACATATCAAGTTCACATGATTACTTGCAACATGATTTCTCCCGTGACCTCAAGAACAAAAGTAACTACTCACAAGTGATAAACATGCTCAAGATCAGAGGGGTATTAAATAGCCTATTGGATCTGAACATATAATCTTCTACCAAATAAACCATATAGTAATCAACTACAAGATGTAATCAACACTACTAGTCACCCACAAGCACCAATCTATAGTTCCGGTACAAAGATTCAACACAAGAGATGAACTAGGGTTTGAGAGGAGATGGTGTTGTTGAAGATGTTGATAGAGATTGACCTCCCCAAGATGGGAGAGTCATTGGTGATGATGATGATGATGATTTCCCCCTCCGTGAGGGAAGTTTTCCCGGCGGAATCGCTCCGCTGGAGGGCAAAAGTGTCCTGCTCAAGTTCCACCTCGATACGGCCGCGCCCCGTCCCGAAAGTCCTTTCCTTATTTTTCTAGGTCAAAATGACTTATATACCAGAAGATGGGCACCGAAGGTGGGCCGAGGGGAGCACAACCCACCAGGGCGCGACTGGGCTCCCTGGTGTGCCCAGGTGGGTTGTGACCACCTAGTGGGCCCCCTCTTGTACTTATTGGCTTCAATATTCCTCAAATATCCATAAAAATCTCCGTAAAGTTTCAAATTGTTTGGAGTTGTGTAGAATAGGTGGCCTGATGTAGCTTTTCCAGGTCCAGATTTCCAGCTGCCGGAATTCTCCCTCTTTGTGTGTACCTTGCATATTATGAGAGAAAAGGCATTAGAATTACTCCAAAAAGCATTATTATGCATAAAAAACATCATAAATAACAGTAGGAAAACATGATGCAAAATGGACGTATCACGGGTCTTCAAAGGATCCCAAGGTTGTTGAAACAGAGAAACAGACAGCAGAAACTTCTGAGGCCCTCACTCAAGACCCATAAGAACTTATTAATGACCCGCCACCATCAATTGATGCCACTTTACTTGATCAAATGGACACTGAGCTTATCCCGACGGCTAGTCATGACCCGCTGAGCCCTAAGTCGCTGACTCCTCCAAAGCCAGCTAAAGAGATTCCTCTTGAAAAGGACTCTGGTGACGTGACCATCACTGGGATGGCTCATACAGCGCCAGGGGCTTCCACTGTACTAACCAACCATAGTACTAAGGAAGAATATCCTTCCTTGGACAAAGGCCAAGCGAAGCTGGATCTGGAAAGCTATGATGCCCTCAGTGCCAGTGACATCCACGCAGGTTATCTGAACCGCCTTCATACTAGCCATGTTCTGGAAGCCGGCTTAGTGAACCTTATGATGGAACGCTTTGAGGTATGTTGCTAACCCCTTTCCATATGCATTTATATAGCCGCCAAGTCTAGAGTATAGGAAAATAATGAGTATGCTGCAGACTTGTAATCAATTTGTAACCCTCAAGGATCGGCTTAGCTTTAACAAGATGAGCCAGGATTTTATAATCACTTAAGAAATTCAAATATGTAGTCCCCAAGGGCCAGCTTAACTTAATAAAGTGAGTTGAGACTTTTATAACCATTTAAAGAATCCAAACATGAAACCCCCAAGGGCCGGCTTAACTTAACAAAGTGAACTGGGTCATTAATAAATTAAAATGACCTATATTAGCCCCCAAGTGCCAAGTGTATTGCTTGCAATGTGCTTGGGACTTAACCAACCGTACCTCATCAAACTTGCTCCTTGCATTGTAATCATTGTTTATTTATTTCAGGCAGAATTGAGTATGAAGGAATCGCAAGTTGGCGATTTAAGAAGGCCTCATTAGACGAAATTAAGACTCTTAAAGCCGGTTTTGATGCTGAGAGAACAGTCTGGGAGGCTGACAAGGCTGCTCTAACAAAAAAGCCAAAGATGCTGAAGCTGCGCTTAAGCCGGTAACCGAAGAGTTATCCGGTTTAAAACAACACATCTCTCAAATGACAGACGCCATCTTCGCTAAGTGTAATGCTTTATTTAAATTCCGTAACCCGCCTGGCTTCTCATATAGATACATTGCTAACTCGCCTGGCGACTCTTGTATAACCTCTTAATAGGCCCCAGGAGTGCAAATCTTGGCCAAGAGATGTTATTGAAGCTGAAGGAGATTTACTCTCTAATAGAGTAGTTATACGGTGGCACTCTTGGTGGCCCTTTTGGCCTCCTTCCGAAGCTTCCAGAGTGTCTTGTGGTTCAAGAAAAATCGTCAAAAAGTTTCGTTTCATTTGGACTCCATTTTATATTGATTTTCTGTAAAGACAAAAACAAGGAAAAACAACAACTAGCACTGGGGACTAGGTTAATAGGTTAGTTCCAAAAAATGATATTAGCATATAAAACATACAAGATTGATAATATAATTGCATGGAACAATAATAAATTATAGATACGTTGGAGACGTATCAATCTGTAGTCCGGTCGGGGCTCCGCGGAGGGGGATTCGTCACTGTCATCATCAACCCTTCTCCGTCAACAATTCCATAATGTTAACCACAGGAGTGAGTAATTCATTCGTAGGTTTGCTGGACGGTGATGAATTTGGATGAGATTTGTCATGTAATCGAGTCAATTTGTTAGGGCTTGATCCCTAGTATCCACTATATTCTGAGATTAATGTTGCTATGACTTTGCTATGCTTAATGCTTGTCATTAGGGTCTGAGTGACATGATTTTAGATCTAAACCTTGTATGTTTTCATGAATATATTTGAATTCTTGGTCCTATATGCTAGTTATATGCACTTGTTATTGTTCTGATTCGTAGACCCCGAAGTGACAATAATTAGGATACTCTCTGGGGATGAATATAATTTGGGGAGTTCATGTATTCACCATGTGTTAATGCTTTGTTCTGGTTCTCTATGAAAAGGAGGCCTTAATATCCCTTAGTTTCCTTATGGCCCCGTTGCCAAGGGCAGGACAAAAGATGTCATGCAAGTTCTTATTATAAGCACTTATGACTATATATGAAATACATGCCTACATTACATTGATGAATTGGAGCTATTGTGCATCGCTCTAGGTTGTGACTGTTACATGATGAATGTCATCCAACGCAAATATCAATCGCTGATCAAAATCCTATGTTTGTCTCATATTGATCTTTGCCAAGTTACTACTGCCGCTGTTACAATCACTATAAATTGCTACTGTTGATGTTCCTCTTACTATTGCTTCTGTGCTACTAAACACTTTGAAGCGGAAATATAATTTCCCAGGTGTGCTTGAATTGACAACTCAACTACTAAGACTCATAAATATTCTTTGGCTCCCGTTGTCTCGAATCTATAAATCTGGGTGAAATACTACCCTCGAAGACTGTCACGATCCCCTATACTTTTGGGTTATCAGCAAGCCAGTTGGATACATGGTGGCTTGCCAGGCAAGCCAACCGAATACGGTTGGCTTGCCTGCAAGCTCTTCGGAGCAGGCGCCACCGTCATCGACAGGCCGTCCTCGCTCGTCCAGGCTGGTCAACACCGTCTCCCGGCAAATCCTCCTCGAGTGATGGTGGCAATGCATCCGACAAGCGTAGAAATAAGCCATGTTCGCGGACGTTGACGCGGCGGCGGAGGAATTTAACTGTGGCACCGAGGATGACGTCGTGGTGCCACGACGACCAAGCCGGCACGTCCGTGCCCGTCGCCAACATCGAGGAAAAGTAGAACATAGAAGGATGCCATAGCTTAGGTCCCACGAAGGCCAGCGCCCCGCATCGCTGGGTTGCACAAACGATGACTTTCCTGCTTCGCGGGGCATAGGCCACGGCGACCGTCTTCTCCGCCCCTAAAACCAACCTTGATCCGTGCTTCGCGGCAGGGAGGCTACTCTTCCCCTCCCGCTGAAGCATATCCCTCCAGGGATCACAACGGTCCAATGAGCCGGCTGCTGAACAAAGGGAAGACATGTCATGGTAATGAAGATCCGCCGTGGCCGGCTATAGCTAGTTTATCCTATTCCGGTATAGTTTAGTTAAAATATATCTGAAATGTAAATGTTTCCATCCGGTTTGTGTGAAAACCATCCGTTTGCATGTAATTCGGTCAGTTAGTTCAAATCCCGTTTTAGATGCATGTGTTGGCTCCCGCATTAGTGTTCGCGGACAGATACATTATTTAGGTTCCGGGTCGATGTTGAGGATGGTCTAATAAATACCTACGTGTGTAATACCAGCGAGTGTAGTACGGCACAGAATACATGTATGGCAGGAAGTATGGCAACAATCCGGTCGTACACAGCACGCCGAGACCCAGATCGGGCGGCCCCCAGGCGCGCAGGAGCTAGCTAATTGAAGCCATGCCCGTTGCGGCGGCCCGGAACCAACTAGCAACTGCCGTGGCCGTTCCCAGAGCGTTCGGGGCCACCACCTGTCGCGCATTTGGATTTCCGTGGCCCCTTTCGGTTTCTCCTCCTCGCCTCGTCGTACCTATTTAATGCCACCTTCGTTCCAAAAAAACCTTATTCAATACCATCTCCCAGTCAAGTAAGGGGAGAGAAGCAGAGGAGCAGCAGCCAATAGCCGCCCACGGAGATAGCCAGAGCCAGAGAGCAAGGCTGGAATTCGAGAGATCGGAGGGAGGAGGATGATGGAGCGGCAGGACGAGGCGTGGTGCTCGTGCTCGCCGAGGCAGTGCAGGATTTGCCACGAGGAGGAAAGGGACGACGGCTGCGTAACCGCAACCGCAACCGCAACCGCCATGGAGTCTCCCTGCGGATGCTCTGGCTCCCTCAAGGTATATGTCGTGTATACATGGATTGTTATCATTTTGGCTGTTGTTCTGCCCAATTCCTTGGGTGTTTCCTTCTCCCGATCGGTGCCGTTTCTTGATGGTTTGATCTGCGTGTTCATGTCGTGTTCTGCAGTATGCTCACAGGGGGTGCGTGCAGAGATGGTGCGACGAGAAGGGGAGCACCGTCTGCGAGATTTGCCTCCAGGTAACTCGGCCTTCTCTCCTTCCGTTGCATCTCCTTGAAAAAATCTCGCTGGAATCCTCGCGTGTCCAGTTATTTCGCTTGATCATCATTTCCTACCGTTTTATCCATGGGAATTTCCCTTTTTTGAAAAACTTCTATTCCAATCTTCGCGTGTCCCTGTATTCATTCTACCTGATCATCATTTTCTACTGTTTTATCCATGAGAATTTCCCCTTTTTACTTAAAAAATACAGTATATAGCAAAAAAAAAAAAATAGGACTAGGCTATGGGATGATGAACCAACTCTGTTCGCCCTTTTCCACGATTTCCGGAATTGAGACCCGTGTGAGTGAGTGCTTCACAGCTCGGGTAGGACTCCAGTAAAGAGTACTAGATGTTTTAGCATACCGAGCAGTACAATTTTCATAGATAGAGCTCTCTGAAAGCTTGTATCCTTGCTTTTGTTTAACATGTTTTTTGCTGTCAGAATTACGAGCCTGGATACACCGCTGCTCCCAAGAAAACTCAAGTTGCTCATGTCGCAGTCACCATCAGGTGCCGCCCCTCCCCACTCACTCTCCCTCTCCCTCTCTCTCTCTCTCTTGGTAACTGGGACCGGTGCTGGTACGCGCAAAGAGGCTATAGAACGTAGTGAACGCTGAATAGTAAAATCTTAGTCCTAATTCATGTCTAGTGACATGCAACTGTCATCAACCATTTGGAATGCCCAACAGAACATTCGGATCCTGTCCTGGTTGCCGGGGTTTACAATAGCCAGTATACAAAAATCCAAATTATTCAGGTAACCAAACAAGAACCCCAGTTATACAGCAGCTGTCCGCCTCACTCTACGCGGCATGGCATCTTGTTTCTTTAGGACGGGGGAAAGCAAAGAACAAATCATCATTGACAGAGCCGCCGACTGGTACGTGGATTCGGTCTAGCTGTTTCGCCAGCCAAGTTGTATCAAGTACCAACCACCTTGTCCTGATTATTCTCCCCATGAGATGGCAGATAATATGCCCTCCATTTCACATCTGTACAGCCGTGTCCTGCACTCCTGCAGCACCATGCCATTGCAGCCTTGCAAAACTGCAAACGAGTCAGCCCGTCTCTTGGTTCGTACTACTGCAGAGATACTGTAGTACCATCTGTTCAACAATGCAATGAGAATACGAGATGGCATGAATGGTCCAGAGGGTCAAATGTTGAATCCTGTCATCACCATCACACACACGTTAACCTGTTGTTCGTGGTGCAGAGGGAGCCTGGAGGTCCCAAGGCAGGATTATGAGGCACCGGAGCATGCCCCGTTGATCGGGCTCGACGCGGCGGCGGGCGACCCGGCCTACGCTGAGTGCGCGAGTGCCGCCGGCAGAAGTGCTGCCTGGTGCCGGTCGGTGACGGTGACGGTACATCCCTGACCGAGACTTTGAACCACATTGCTATGTTCAGAACTTCAGATGCGAATGGTGTTGAACTCTGACAGAATTCTGCTTGTCCGTGCAGTTCACTGTTGTGTTGCTGCTGAGGCATCTCATTGCCCTGGTGACCGTCGGCGCCGCGAATCAATACGCCTTCAGCCTGCTGACGGTGAGTTCTATCCATGATTCTTCCCTCGGATAAATAAACAAATAAAGGTGATCCATGATTGTTTGACATGTGTTCCTTTGCTTTGAAGATATGCTTGCTGAGGGCGAGTGGGATCTTGCTGCCGTTCTACGTCCTCATGCGGCTTATCTCCGCGGTGCAGCACGGCCAGATGCAGTACCGGCTGCAGATGCTCCAGGTGTGTTGCGTCGTCTGAGTTTTAGACGCTGGTTGCAGGGGAGGTTCCAGTGAGCAAGTTCTTAACACCTGTTTCTTGCTGCAGGAGCAAAGAAGGAACGCATCAAGAATGCAACACAGGGTGCCTGGTCAGGGACAACGGCAGCATGTGATTCTTGTTGTGTGAGGAGAACAGTGAAGTGGATGTTGTCCTCTGGAATAGTCTTAAATGTATTATTATTGATGTTGATCAAGGAGCAATTAGGAAAAAAGAAAAGAGAAAGTTCATAAGCTTTCCGGTGTGTATGTGCACATACATTTCTTTCAGTGATGAATGAAATCAACAACCCCAAATCCAGCTTTTCTTTTACCAGGACTGTGCAACCCTCGGCTCTTGATAATCTCAAAATATACAAGCTGCGAAGATGGACTTTCTCGGGGTCCAAATAAAGCTTACACCAGCAAACAAGTACTTCCTCCATCCGGAATTAGTCATCCAGAATTATTTGACACTCAAACTGATTTATTTAGCAAGTAGTTATGAACTCCAACTTTCCGCCTTATTCATATGATGTCATATGATACCATGGATAAGAGTATCTACAGTCGGACGCTTCAAACCATAAAAGAAAAAACCAAACCGGTTTCAAATGCTGCCCGGCATCTATCATATCCAACACAAATTCGGGACGGATATGGGCAAGAGCATCTATAGCCGGACGCCTCAAACCATAGAAAGAAAAAACAAACCAGTCTCAAACGCCTAGCTGACCGGCCTCTATCATGTCCAATACAAATTCAAGCGGATATGGGGCGGCCAGCGCGTCCACCGCGTCGGGCCGATGTCAGGATCCCACACAAAATCACTCTAAAACCCAACGGTTTGACGGTCGTCTCCTCTGGGAGATGTGAACGTCGCGTGACCCCGCTGTCGGTGTCAAAACCGACGGATCTCGGGTAGGGGGTCCCGATCTGTGCGTCTTAGGTTAATGGTAACAGGAAGCGAGGGACACAATATTTACCCAGGTTCGGGCCCTCTCGATGAAGGTAAAACCCTACTTCCTGCTTGATTAATATTGAAGATATGAGTAGTACAAGAGTAGATCTACCACGAGATCGTAGAGGCTAAACTCTAAGAGCTAGCCTATGATGGTATGATTGTAATCGTGATCGGCCTTCTAAGGACCAACCTCTCCGGTTTATATAGACACCGGAGAGGGCTAGGGTTTACATGGAGTCGGTTACAAGGAAGGAAACACAATATCCGGATCGCCAAGCTTGCCTTCCATGCAAAGGAGAGTCCCATCCGGACACGGGGCGAAGTCTTGAGTCTCGTATCTTCACGCTTCAATAGTCCGGACGATGTATACAGTCCGGCTGTCCGGATACCCCCTAATCCAGGACTCCCTCAGTAGCCCCTGAACCGGGCTTCAATGATGATGAGTCCGACGCGCAGTCTTGTCTTTGGCATTGCAAGGCGGGTTCCTTCTCCGAATACTCCAAGGTAATTATCGAACACTTCAATTGTGTCCGGATCCGCAAAATGATCGTCACATATCGCCATAGAAAGAATGATATTTCACAAATGCAATCTGCTAGCAACTTTCTAGACAGCGTGATATGTCATCAAGGTCGGGTCATTATCCGAACCGTTTTCCCACATCCAGCCTCAGTGTATATTGCGAGGCGGTTTCCTTGACACGTCTTGTCAAAGCAAAGATCGTGTCCCCTTATCACAGGATTCTCATCAACACGGATATGGGTAATCCAACCGCACCGCTAATCGCGGCGAGTGGGAGTCGAACGGGTTCCACCAGGCAAGTGGGGAGGCGCAAAAAGCATTTACCGGCCCTATAAAGAGAGAAGGTCTCTTTCTCTTTACCCACGCCTTCTCCTTCCGCTAGCTCATTCCCCTCTATTCGAGCCCTAACGCCCAAGCACTCTTCTTTTCGATTGAAGAGAAGTTTTTCAAAGATGTCCGGATCCGGAGTAGGAGGCAGATGGATGGCCTCTACCGTTCGGGAGAAGGATATCAAGAAGCTCCGGGAAGCCGGGTATCTGGCCAAGAAGATCGGCCACCGTCTCCCACCAGCGGGACATGTTGTCCCCACTCCGGAGCCTCACGAGAGAGTCGTGTTCCTTCCCTACTTCGTCCGCGGGCTCGGGTTTCCCCTCCACCCATTTGTCTGTGGAGCCATGTATTACTATGGGATTGATTTTCATGATCTTTCCCCCCAACTCTTTTCTTAATATCTCGACGTTCATCGTCGTGTGCGAGGCCTTTCTCTGGATTCCGCCTTACTTCGGCCTGTGGCTGAAGATTTTCAATGTGAAGCCCAAGGTGGTGAGTGGCGAACACGCCGAGTGCGGCGGCGCCATGGTGACCAAGATGCCCAAGGCCGTTTGGCCGAAGGGCACCTTCAACGACTCCGTCAAGGAGTGGCAGTAGCAGTGGTTTTATATCACCGAACCACGCGGCAAAAAGTGGGCTACAGCTCCTGAGTTCAGATCCGGAGCTCCACTGCGGCTCACGTCCTGGCCCAAGAAGGGCCCGAACTCGTCCTCGTCCGATGTGACGCCCCCGATTTATTCGTACACTAATCATGCACGCAAATGTGTACGATCAAGATCAGGGACTCACGGGAAGATATCACAACACAACTCTAAAATATAAATAAGTCATACAAGCATCATAATACAAGCCAGGGGCCTCGAGGGCTCGAATACAAGTTCTCGATCATAGACGAGTCAGCGGAAGCAACAATATCTGAAAACAGACATAAGTTAAACAAGTTTGCCTTAAGAAGGCTAGCACAAACTGGGATACAGATCGAAAGAGGCGCAGGTCTCCTGCCTGGGATCCTCCTAAACTACTCATGGTCGTCGTCAGCAGCCTGCACGTAGTAGTAGGCACCTCCAGTGTAGTAGGAATCATCGTCGACGGTGGCGTCTGGCTCCAGGGCTCCAGCATCTGGTTGCGACAACCAGGTAGAAGGGAAAGGGGAAAAGAGGGAGAAAAGCAACCGTGAGTACTCATCCAAAGTACTCGCAAGCAAGGAGCTACACTACATATGCATGGGTATATGTGTAAAGGGCCAGATCGGTGGACTGAACTGCAGAATGCCAGAATAAAAGGGGGATAGCTAATCCTGTCGAAGACTACGCTTCTGGCAGCCTCCGTCTTGCAGCATGTAGAAGAGAGTAGATTGAAGTCCTCCAAGTAGCATCTCCAAGTAGCATCTCCAGTCGCATCGCATAGCATAATCCTACCCGGCGATCCTCCCCTCGTCGCCCTGTGGAAAAGCGATCACCGGGTTGTCTGTGGAACTTGGAAGGGTGTGTTTTATTAAGTATCCGATTCTAGTTGTCATAAGGTCAAGGTACAACTCCAAGTCGTCCTGTTACCGAAGATCACGGCTATTCGAATAGATTAACTTCCCTGCAGGGGTGCACCAACTTACCCAACACGCTTGATCCCATTTGGCCGGACACACTTCCCTTGGTCATGCCCGGCCTCGGAAGATCAACACGTCGCAACCCCACCTAGGCCTAACAGAGAGGTCAGCACGCCGGTCTAACTCCTATGGCGCAGGGGTCTGGGCCCATCGCCCATTGCACACCTGCATGTTGCGTGGGCGGCCGAAAGCAGAACTAGCCCCCTTAATACAAGAGCAGGCTTACGTTCCAATCCGGTGCGCGCCGCTCAGTCGCTGACGTCTAGAAGGCTTCGGCTGATACCACGACGCCGGGATACCCATAACTACTCCCGCGTAGATGGTTAGTGTGTATAGGCTCGTAGCCAACTCAGATCAAATACCAAGATCTCGTTAAGCATGTTAAATATCCGCGAACGCCGAACAGGGCCAGGCCCACCTCTCTCCTAGGCGGTCTCAACCTGCCCTGTCGCTCCGCCACAAAGATCCACTCGCGGGTGCTCCACCAGCCGACCCGTCTTTGGTCACCACATGTATCATGTATAACGTATATAGTATATACCCGTGATCACCTCCCAAGTGATCACGGCCCGATAGTATAGCACAGCAGACGGACAAGAATGTAGGGCCACAGATGGAAATATTAGCATCCTATACTAAGCATGTAGGATTGCAGGTAACGGTAACAACAGTAGTAGCAAGGACAGGCTATGCATCAGGATAGGTATAACGGAAAGCAGTAACATGCTACACTACTCTAATGCAAGCAGTATAGAGTAGAATAGGCGATATCTGGTGACCAAGGGGGGGGGGGCTTGCCTGGTTGCTCAGACAAGAAGGAGGGGTCGTCAACACCGTAGTCGATCGGGGTACCAGCAGCAGCATCAGCCTCATAGTCTACCGAAGAGAAGAGGGGGAAGAAACAATAAATACAATGCAACATAAGCATGCCGATGCGTGACAAAGCAAACGGCGGTGTTAGGTGTGCCCTCATACGGTATTAGGTGATACCGGCGAAGGGGAAAAAACATCCGGAAAAGTATCCCCAGTGTTTCGCGTTTTCGGGCAGATGAACCGGAGGTGAAATGTTGCAGGTTCACTATGCTAGGGACGCGTGGTGGACGAACGGGCTGCGTATCCGCATTCGTCTCGTCGTTCTGAGCAACTTTCATGTATAAAGTTTTTTCATCCGAGCTACGGTTTATTTTATATTAATTTTAAAAGATTTAATCAATTTTAGGATTTATTTATTTAATTTAATCAACATTATCCAAAACTGTGCACGTTGACGTCAGCATGACGTCAGCAGTCAACAGAGGCATTGACTGGTCAACTGACATGTGGGTCCCGCATGTCATACTTTGTTAACTAATTAACCAAAGTAATTAGTTTAATTAACATATTAGTTAGGTTAGTTAATTAATTAATTAAATTTATATTCATTATTATTATTTTTATTTCTCCTTTTTAACCGTTCTAGGGCTGGGCCCCACATGTCTGTGGCCCAGAGGGGCCATAGCGGTTCGGGCGGTAGCGGGTGCAGGCGCACCCAAGCGAGCGCTCGCCCGCAGGGCGTGACGAGGCCAGGGAGGCCGGGCGATCACCGGAGGGGGACGCCGGCAGGAGAGCAGCAGGGCGGTGCTGGAGTGGGCCGCGGGCCAGAGGGGGAGTGGTTGTGGCCAAGCCAGACGGCCAGAACGAGGCACGAGCGCCAGGGTGCGGCCCCGGGCGCGCTGGCCGCAGTGGTGGTCGG